ATATGTCATCGCAGATCGCACATCTTCCCTTCAACTGTCTCCGATTAGTTATTCGCAGAAAATGGGGCAGTGACTGCAATTTTAAACTGTATTGAACTACAAATTTATACGTTTTGGTGCTGTCCGAATCGGATTTGACGTCCTCTTTTTTTTCCTGTGTCTATATCGCAGCAAAAACGGAATTCAGCGACAGTTTGCATTTGAAAATATGGCATTTGGGATCAAACAATAAAAAACCTCTTGTGAAAGTCACAGGTCGGACATTTCAATCTACACACAAAACTGGATGTTAAGTTTGGATAATAGTGAAGTTGCGTAAAATATATGTGTAGTGCACGCCAGTGACTAATTGCCCTTTTCCCGTCAGGCTCCGGACTCCGGTCCGGGGTAGGGTTAATTAATTGCTACTCTCTGCTACCCATGTCCCTTCACCTGTAGTTGTGACAGCGACAAGTGAGAACTAACGAGTGGCCTTCTCATAATCTACGACTTTGCCACGATTTCGCTGTCAAGAGGGATCAGGGGGTCAACCAATTTCCCCCAAAGCTCATAAGACCATTTTTGGTATTATCCCTCCTACCTTCTGACCGTGACGTGGATGGACCTAAAGAACCCTATATAAACTCAACTTGGAGAGCAGGGAGAGAGGAGAGTGACGGAGGTTGGTGAGGTGTTCCAGACTTCGCTGCTGCTGATCGTCAGGCGCCGGTTAGGGCCCCTGTTTGTAATTGAGCCCCTTGCTATTTCTACTCGGTTGGAGCCGAGGAGCCTAAGTGCTGGTCGGAGCCAGACTTAGGTGGATCTGGTTGGTGCCAGATTCTGTTCCCGCCGGTTGGAGCCGGGAGAACACTTAGAAATAGCAAGGACGAGATTGGAGTGGCTTGTGGAGGGTCGAAGCCCGAGCAACCCATTCCGATTTCGTTGATTTAGCCGTGATTGCCGCCAATCACGAGTCTTCGCGAAAGTGCTGCATCGAGGGGGTGAGCTGAATCTGTTGTTCTTTGAAAGTTAATTTTGTTGCTGTTCATTAACTTCCCTCTAACGAAAGCTGCTCGCTCGCGAAGTTGTGCTGAGGAACCCTGTATATTCTTTTGCTAACTTGCCGAACCAGAACCTAATCTGTCAACCGTAGATTAGAATAAAGAAAATCTGTGAAAATCCCATTCTGTTGGAATCCTTGCCTCACGGCTACTGATTCCGTCCGACCAATACGAACCATCCCAAAGGGGCAAATGTCTAATATCCTTTCTTTTTTTAAAATATTTTTCTTGTTTCGCGACGGTCAAGGTAGTTTGCAGGTAGTATTTAAGTACAGCCAGTACGAGTAAATACTACCGGCCACGCCAGACGACCGCGTGCGTTACATTCTGGCGCAGTCGGTAGGATAAGAAATTTTCCTAATTTTTCTGGTCTCTAAATTGACGGATTGGGTTTTTCACTGATTTTCAAGACCCGTAATTGAGAATGGCCAAAGAACAGGTAGCTCCAGCGATGAAGGAAGTGGTGTTTTCGATCCCTGAGTTTACTGGAGAAAAGGGAAGCCTCCGCGTTCAGGATTTTATTGACAAAGTTAGTATGGCGAAAACCTTTGGAGAGTGGAAAGACGAGCAGGCCGTTAACATTCTCAAGTTTAAGCTTGGGGGCATGGCGGCTGATTTCGTCCGCTCGGACGAGAAGCTGCGCGTGACAAAAGATTTTCAGGAGTTATGTAAAGGCCTGAAAGGGCATCTCGAGAGACCCCAAACCCTTTCGAGCCTCACCCACAGGCTGGGGGAGCTCCATCAGCGCCCAGATGAGACGGCAGGAGATTTTGGAACAAGGGTGAAGGAGGTGGTTAGAAGGATTGAGGACATTAGTGGGAAAAGTGATTTACTAAGAGCAATGGGGCTAAATCAGTACGTAAATGGACTTCGTTCCATGGAGCTTCAGAAGTTTTTAAGGTGGAAGGACCCACAGGAGCTAGATGTTGCGGTAGAGTGGGCAAGGAAGGAGGAGAGTAGAGATAAGATTGCTAGACGGACGCTTTTTAGCGTTCAGGTTGAGAAGGCTGGCGCCACTTCCCGCACGCCCGTTTCAGAGAGGGACCCGCAATTAGAGCAGGGGTTTCAAAGGTGTTTTAGCCATTTCCAGACGTTCAGTCGCCCCAAAAGGCCTTTTCCCATTCCACGCAAAATGAGAAGTAAAGGGACACAAAGGACTCCAGCCTTAGCGCCCGAAACAACGCCACCCCGCGTTTGCTTTGTGTGCCGCCAGGAGGGGCACTTTGCGAGGAAGTGCCCCAATCAAAAGCAAGGGAAGGCTAGAATCGAGAGGGGGTGTTTTCTTTGCGGTGGCCAGGACCATGTTAAGAAAAATTGCACGTGGAGGGACGTGGACAAGAAAATGGGAAACGGACAAAACCCCTCATCCTCCCAACAATAAGTCGAAATGGAACGGAGGACGAGGGGGCCCCTATTTTGAAAGGTCGTGTGTGTGGGGTTGATTACAAATTATTGTTAGATTCAGGTGCGCGAGTGAGTGTGGCACGGATGGAGTCATTTCCTGCAGAGATCGTGAAGTCATTGTGGAGATTAAATACGAGGCAGACGCTAGTAGGCATAACAGGGCACGATGTGGGAACGTTAGGATGTTACGAGATGGAGATCGATGTGGGTGCCCCTGAGACGTTTCGACATCCGGTTTGGCTTGCTAGGAGTTTGAATGGGTTGCATGTAGATGTAGTTCTAGGCCAGGATGTCTTGCGCGACAGGCAAATTGATATTTTCATGGCTCAGAAGGCGGCCAGATGTCAAGGTCGAACCCTTCCGTTTCTGGTCAGAAAGAGGGAGAATAAGAATAATTGTTCTGGGTTCCTTCCTGTCTTTCCGTTGAGAGTCCGTAATTCCTTCAGTGTCTTGTCTTGTCCTGAAGAAGAATCAAGAGGGCAGATAAATGATGAGGGTCGAGATTTAAAAGGGGGACGTATTAGGACAGGGGACTCAGGACGGTGGGGAGAAAGGACGATGTCCTTTCCCCAAGGCATAAGAGATAACGTCAGGGTCTACGAGGCGGGGACAATCGTTACACGAGAATCTGACAAGAGATCTATGGGTCAAGAAAATAATGAAGGTCAGGGACAGGCAAATGAAAGGGAAAGTCCCGTTGTTCGTTTGCATACCTCTGTGGAGATCCCTGCCCGTTCAGAAATCATTCTCCCAGGTCCGATTAAGGGCGTTTGTCAGGATGGTTCACAAGTATTGGTACAACCATGTAGTCTAGGGCAACCCGGAATTTTGGTCGCCTCGCTACTGGCTACCGTACGAAACCGGACAGTTCCTCTGAGATTAATCAATACGCGAAGGGACACGGTGCGGCTTCACGAGGGACTGATTGTCGCGAGAGTTGTACCTCTGGAAGGGGAGATGCAACTGATTGGCAGTCTGCAATTGAAGGATCACCCCAATTCTAAATTAGGTAGCCCATCTGTTCCCACCCTGCGAAAGCTGTCCCAGGAAGAATTCAGTCGGAATTTTGATCTCAGTCACATACCTACGGGTCAGAGGGATATCCTTTTAGCTCTTTGGTATGAGTATAGGGACGCGTTCCGATTCCCAGGCGATCCTCTGGGATATACCGATAAGATCAAGCACGTGATAGAAACGGGAGATAGCCCGCCCATCTCCATGCGTCCCTACAGAGTTCCTTATAAGTATAAGGAAGAGTTGAAAGAGAGTATTCAGGAATTGTTGGATGAGGGTGTGATTCGCCCTAGTACCAGTCCGTGGGCATTCCCTGTAGTGATCGTGCCCAAACGGGACGGGGGTATTCGACTTTGTGTCGATTACCGTCGGTTGAATGCTATCACTCGCAAGGAGGTTTATCCCTTGCCCTTGATAAGCGAAACACTGGATGCACTAGGTGGTGCCCGCTACTTTAGCAGCATGGATCTAGCTAGTGGCTACTTATAAGTGGCGCTGGATGAGGCCTCCGTTGAGAAGAGTGCCTTCATTTTACCTCATGGCAATGGAAGGTATGAGTTCCTACGAATGGGAATGGGTTTGGTGAATGCCCCCAGCACCTTCCAACGGTTGATGGATTCGATTCTGGCTGGTTTGCAGTTCGAAGTCTGTCTCATTTACTTGGATGATGTGATTGTATTTTCCAAGACTTTTGAAGAGCACGTGCAACGGTTACGGTTAGTCCTTCAGAAGCTAATGGAAACCAATCTTCGTTTAAAGCCAAGCAAATGTTCTTTTCTGAGGAGCGAACTAGATTACTTAGGCCATACAGTAAGTGCTCAAGGAGTGAAACCCCAGGAAGGAAAAATTCG